CATCCATCCATCATCCATCCACCCACTCAACATCCATCCATCCATCCATCCATCCACCCACCCATCCATCCATCCATCTATCCATCCATCCATCCATCCATCCATCATCCACCCACCCATCCAACCACTCAACCATCCATCTATCCTTCCTTCCTCCCCCACCTACAGTAATACAATAGCCCATATCTGTTTAGTTTGGGCCAATCAAGATCCCTCTTGTCTTACATGTCATTCTCTTAATAGTCAGAGACACACTCTCGCTCTGGCCCTCTGGTGCTTTCCTGTTTTCACCCACTAGATTCAGAGATATGTTAATGACTTTGCAAGAACCAGGATGCTCTGTTGCCGTAGGGCTCTTCTTCTGGGTCACCATTGAACCATAGGCCGACCCCAGTCGTCCGTTTTTGTATTTCTAAAGGTCTGAGGAAGGGGAGCAACCCTCTAACCCACGTGTCAAACTCAAGGCGCACAGGCCAAACGCAGCCCACCAAGTTATTTTGAGTGGCCCGCAGGAGCTTAAAGTAGTTACAGCTATTCAGTCTCAGAGTTAGAACTGGCCCTTTAAGGGGAACTATATTGCTGATGTGCCCCCCCACCCCCAATCCCCCCCTGCACTCTAACTCTTTCTTACATAACGTCTGTGTTATTTTGCAAAGCAGGCATCAAAAACTGCAGTGTGCAGCCAATGGGAGCGTTGATCTTACACCTCTTTACATAGTGCTTACCGCACACAAAAAAACGACTCCAACAAGAGCAGCTCATAAAAGCAGTTTACAATTGAGTAATACCAAGTCGTTCTCGTGGAGTGTCCTTAATTACTCTTTACAATTTCAACTACAGATGCGAGGAGGGAACAAACACCACACTGGCCCTCCCTGCACTTCTGCCGCGCTCGAGGATTAATCCCTTACAAGATTACGTTAATGCCGCAGCAAAGAAGTTCTCTTCATCCATTCTTTCACTTAACGCTTATCGAAACGAATGCCATTGTCTCACCCGTCCGTGCACAAAACCCCACTCCGCCCTCTTACCCCACATTAAGTCAAAATAATTCTGTTATTCCACTTACGGGCGTCCCCCGCACTGCCCTCCACCCACTGATTGTACATCATTAAAGCCATTGCACACGTCTTGGAGCTGGTGCTGGGGGTCTTATTGCCCAGCTAAGCCCATTTTCCTCACCTGTACCCCTGACTCCCAATGGGAGCTGTTACTGCTGTTCACTGGTTGCACAAGAAAATAGTATCATTTTGCCCCCCCCCCCAACCTCCCCTTCCCACTCTCATATACCCTGCAGCTGCAGTACGCTGCACTTTCTGGAACAATTGCAGTGGCAAACTCTCCTGGAGGATGATATCTGTGTCAGGGGATAAAACAAACAGTTGGCGGCGGACAATGGCAGAGACCCGCGTGGTCCAACCCATTCCTCTTCTCTTGGCCGGTGTCTCGCTTTTGCCTTGTTCCGTTTCAACTCATTTCATAGGAATACAGGAGGAAAACCAGAGGCCACAGAGGCCTGACGGAACAACAGAGAAACCATTATTATGACCATCAACTGCACAATAAAGAGTCAGGTCATGCATTCAGTACACAGCGATCTGCTGTCCAATCACGGGTTTTGAGCTGTGATCAACGCGATGCTACAAGCGACTAACTAGTTTACTGGTTCGATAAACTAACCATCAACCCATTAGTACCATATTTCACCGAAAGATGACCTGACTTAATAAGAATTTCGATCGTCACTTAAAATATAAATAACATCTAAACCAGGGGTGCCAAACATACGGCCCGCGGGCCAAAACTGGCCCAGAAGGGTGTTCAAACCTAAAAAATACACACTTTATGTTGAGGATATGTTCAGGATATTTTTGTAAAATTATTATTATTTATTTTAATATGAATAAATAATAATAATAATAAATATCTAATATACCTTTACTTCTTTGCATGAAAACAAAGGGGAAAAACATGGACTTAACGTTATTTATAATTTCTAAAAAAACAAAGGGGAAAAACATGAACTTAACGTTATTTATAATTTTTAACAAATTTTTAACTTGACATCTCATTATGTGGTCCGTGAACTAAAAAAAGTTAAGTCTTTTTGCTTTCTGCCATCCCTGATATTTTTACGACAAAACTGCGACTGCTGCCAAGCCCTTTCAAAATAAAAGTCCTTCTAGTCAAACCGACTTCTAAGACATAAAACACGCAGCACAGACGACAGAATGAGTTGTTGACAAGGCTGTTTCTTTCACATGGTTGAAGGATACTTTTACAATTGTGCACTGGTTTGAGCGTAACAGTGGTGTGCTGAGTTTGTACCTGTCGTCGGCACTATTAATGATGCAGCTACAGAGCACTGTCATGGTATTAATTACAGCTGAACCTACAGATACTTTACATGCTCTCTCAACAGCTGCTAAACATATGGCTAATGTTCATTAACCACCGGTTCACTTTGAATGACTTCTAAGGAACGTCTGCGTCTGCAGTTCATCCGTGCGTATTCGCCTGAAAGTCGCAGCTGTCTTTTTAGCTTATTTAAAACATAGGATTATTTATGTTAAATAGAATAGCATTTTTGTGTGGTTTTTTTTTATCAAATGAGAGTCAACAGCGTTTGACGCAGAAGTTAGCTGATTAGTACAACATACGCAGATCCAGGAAATGCACTGCAGACTATAATTAGTAGGTCCCTTGCTCCTTCTGATCGGGAACCAAGAACTGCTTCTGTGTCACATGCCAGGGTGTTCTCTCTCTCTCTCTCTCTCTCTCTCTCTGCTTTTTTCCCTTCTTTTTTGTTATTTACTTTCTCTGTTTCCTCTTCTGCCTGACTTTGTTTGTTACTCTGTCAGAACTCCTGCCCCCACTGTCTCTTCACTGTTGCATTTTTTAACACCACGGTTGAATATAGCCATAGTATCTCGCTGCGACAGTGTTTCCACTTGGAATCCCACTGAATTAATTCACACAGCACAACAACGCGTTACTTGGTTACTCAGTTGCCACTGAATATATAAAAAAAAAAACAACTAAACCTTTAGAGTAAACAGGAAAAAAATATAAAATGAAAGTATTTGTAGATGAATCTTTTTTTTTTAGTTAGCATGTGTTTAAGGCATTGGTAGGGACTACCTCAGATAGATAGATGGATGGGGACACATGGAGACACATTAAGAGACATATGGGTTTGAGCTGTTGAGCTAATAGCTTTTAGCATGCTAACATGCTAGCATTTGTTGTTTTTAGCATGTTTCCCGCTCTAAATAGATAGATAGATAGATGGATAGATAGATAGATGGATGGATAGATGGATGGATGGATGGATGGATGGATGGATGGATGGATGGATGGATGGATGGATGGATGGATGGATGGATGGATGGATGGATGGATGGATGGATGGATGGATGGATGGATGGATGGATGGATGGATGGATGGATGGATGGATGGATGGATGGATGGATGGATGGATGGATGGATGGATGGATGGATGGATG